GATCGGTGCTTCACAAAATGGCTGCCCTATGGGCAATCTTCGCAAAACAACGAGGTATTTTCCCATTGGAATGCATTAAACGGGTTTCAATGCATTCCAATGGAGAAATGGTTTTCGCATGACAATGATTTCGCTAAACAGCGATTTCAATGGAACGGATTATCAGCATCATGCGTGGCACTACTGTGGCTCCAGAGCTAATGAAGTGGAATGTATCAGAAGAATCGTGGGCAAAAATATGGACTATACATTCTTATAAATCAGTATCTCAGCTCTAGAACATTCTGATGGTAGCTCTGCACAGGCCCAAGACACACGTATATGATTCACAGAATCCACAAAGAAGAGCATTACAAATATATTTTTTGGTATGTTTTATTCCCTAAGCAGCAATTGGTGCGGCCCTTCACAATAGCTCACATACAGCACTTCAGAGCTGACATTTGTTTATATATTCTGCTGAGAGTCGTTAAACTCTAAGAAATGAAGTGAGAGCCAAGCCTGTCTGCTTTTAAAATCCCTAAATAACGTGGGAACAGAAGGTTGGCAGGACTGTTTCCTGCATGAGGTTCCCTTTAAGCCAGATGTGGACAGCAGTGGCCCACTAGATAGTTTCAGGATGCATTACAATTTTAATAATCTGTTGCCACCAACTGTGATGAGTTTAGCCTTGCTGATTTTAAGGAAATATGTGTTATATTTGGAAAAGATATTGAATTTAATTCTAAAATTGCTTTGTTGTCAATTTTTGATAAGATTGAACTTGATTATTGCTCAAAGGAATTCATTTCCAATTTTATGACAAGTGCTAGAATATTAATAGCTAGATTCTGGAATGATAAAAATGATATTAAATTAGAAGATTGATATAATGAAGTATGGGACATTGCGTTAAATGATAAATTGACTACTGAACTTAAAATGAAAAGATGAGAAATAAGTTTAAATATTTTTATTCTATTTGGGGTAGATTTATTGAATTTGTAGTAGTAAAAGGAAAGGGGAAAGCTTCTAAACAACAATGGATTCAATTTTGGAAAGGAGGTTCGTAATAAAAGTATTGCTCCAAAGGGTCCTGTGGGTATGGGGGTGCACTGTTTTAGATTGTATTAGTAAGTATTTTGTATTCTTGTATTTGTTTTGGAAATTTAAAAAATAAAATAAAAAAGAAGAGTTTAGCTTTATGCCCAGATTTATGTGCTACACACATTTGGGGAAGCCTTAATACAGATTAGATTATTCTTTGTTGTTCAGTTTCATTTAAAATACCATATGTTAAATGATATTGATATATTTTTGGTCCATCAGAACTCCAAAGAAAAGCTAATAATGATCTAAAATATATTACCAGAAATAATACACCATAATCATTAGTCTTAAAAGGAGACAGCAAATCAGGACTCAAAGGCATGTTAAATTAACAGTTCTCATAAACATGTTGTACCTTCATCAGCCTGATTGATTTTCTCCGCTGTGAAGCAAAACCAGTGAAATTTGATTCTCAGGTTGGCCTATTTGAGGACAGTCTAATTATTTTTTATCTATCAAGTAGGTATACATAACTAGTGAATCTCCTCTAGTCTGAGAAGATGGTATTTTTACTGGCATTTAGTATCATGATTGGTCATCGAAGAGCCCTATAGCGCAGTGGTTAAATTGTTGTATTGCAGCCAAAACTCTGGTCACAACCCAGGTTCGATCCCAGGTAATGGCTCAAAGTTCACTCAGTCTTCCATCCTTCCAAGGTTGAGTATCCAGTGTGCTGGGGGGACTGTGTGTAACCTGCATAATTAAATTGTAAAAAACCACCCAGAGAGTGCTTTAAATGTTGTGGGATGGTATATAAGCAGCACACTTTTATGAAACAAGAGAAATTGTGTGCCCTTGGAGCACTGCATCGCATGTTGGTTTGAAAGAACCACCCAATGCTTTGGGTTTACATCTTTTAGCTAGTAGTGACACTTATTTACTGGAACCACATATCATATTCTTTCTTTTTTACCCCCATCAGATGTATCAATCAGAATATGGTGCTCTAACAGAAGAAGATTTAACTTGCATTTTAAAAACTGCCATTGGCGTTTCAGACCTTAATGTATCAAATCTTTTTCGAGCTATAGATGTCAAAGAAAGAGGGGAAATTACATATGGTAAGTCTGCAAAATGGTTTTGAAAATACATACACAAAGGAGTTTGTTTGCACAGACTTGTGAAGTGGCATATTTGAAAAATTGTTTGGACCTCATTGGCGAGTACTGCAGTTTGCAGGATACAAGTTCTCAAATCACTGGGTCTCTTCTAAACATGACCCAGTCTAAGTCCTATCCCGTCTGTTTAAATAGATGTGTTATTCACTTTATACGTTTACAATGTATGTTTTCTTGCATCTGTTTCTAGATGAATTCCATAGGTTTGCCGAAATGTATCCAAACTTTGCAGAGCAGTATCTATACCCTGATCAAATGGAGACTGAAAGTTGTTTGCACACTCCTGCTCCTAACGGCTTTTGTACAGACTTCAGCCCAGAACTTACTGAAGAGAGGAGATATCGCCTACAGAAGAAATTGGATTAATATTAATAATTCCACCATCCTCTTCTGGTGAGAGGAATACATCCTGTCTAGCGATCTTCATAGTCAATCAGCTACATAACCTGAAGTGTGTATGGGGTATGTGTGAGAGAAAAAATGGGGAAATATTGTGTGTGTATACATGTGTGTGTGACATTTTTACTACATTAATAAGCATCTTCAGGCTTTCTAGTGGGAAGAACTTGTTTTTCCATTGCTACCTTGGAAAGTAAAGAATGTAAATGAACTTTAATTTGAGTACTTAAAAAGAAGATGCTCTCATATTTATATTCCATTGCTTAGTTCCATGTACAAAGTGTCCCACAAAATGTGCATGTGTGAAGAATACTGTAGCTCCTATGGTGTCAAGTGCACTTCGGTGATTAGTGTTATCCCGATTTAGGGAATTGTTTTGAGGTCAAGTTCTACTTTCCTTTTTCACATGGATAGGTCCGTTGTCATTCATCTTCCAGGTGAGGCAAGCTGAATTTGGTCCTTTTAGTTTCATTTCAGTAAATAGTTGAAAGAAAAGTATTCAAAAGCTGTTTTAACTAAGAAATTGTTTTTATTATTTTTCCTTGCGAGACTCCTTTGTTTGCTTACTTTAGTTTTTGATAATATCAAAAAGGGTAAGAAGAGATGTTCCCAGGGCTGTGTGCATTCTGTGCTAGATGTATTCTGTAGTGCAAATCTACACTTCAGAAAAGAGGGATTCCAAAAATACATGTAAAAGAAGCAAATGAGGTACATTTTTACAGTTCTCATAATTCTGCTTTTGTTAGTGGGCAAAAACAAAGATCTACATAGGCAGATTAAATACTGTCTGGATAATTGGAAATTCAGATTACATTTTTCCTTCCCTGCTCAAAAGCTGCTGAGATTTTATTGCTCACATGCTTTTATCTTTATAGCTTTAAAGTACTGTATAGGAATACATAATGGTCGGAATCCTGTTGTGCAACTTGACACCATACAGGTCTGATAATGTCATCAGCTGCAGCTGTTGGTGGGGGAATTAAAACCTTCCTATACCCAGTACCTTTGTTCTGGGACACCCAGGGATCCCTTTTATCCTGATGAAGCCTTTGGGAGCTATGGGAAAGAAAAGGGAACTCTTAATGCCCCAAATCACTGCTGTCACTGGGACCAGGATTGGCACTGGGGATCATTTCCGTCCTCTGTCCCACAGCTCTCACAGACTTACCCTAGATGAAAGAGTTCCTAGGTATTCCAGGAATTTGGAGGTTGGATAGGAATATTTTTATCTGCCCCACAATAACTGTGGCTAATGATGTCATCAAAGTTGTGCGGTCTAAAGTTTCACAGTGATATTCTAGCCAATTTTTTTAAAAATCCTCAGGGTGATAAATTCTGGATTTAAGTCTGATTTCTTAATTTGCATATGATCACAGAATGAGCACAGCCATGGCTGTTTCCCTGTCCCTCTTGCTGCTGTTCAATTTAGGTATTTTAGACAGCAATCGTTTTAAAAGGTGCATTTAAAAAAACAGTTTTGGTGGGTGTGGCTTTTTTGCACAGAAACAAAATTATGTTTGCAATCCTGTTTGCTGAAATCCTGTTACACAGCTCCACGTGTTCAACAGTCAGCATCAGTGACAAATTGATGTCTGCAAGCAGTGGCAAATTGACTCTGAGTAAAGGCAAATTACTGCTGATTAAAAGTGATTTTGGAATTCACACAACTTGTACACAAAGTGATGAAGTCATGTGCACCTGAAAATCCTGAAAGGAAGCTTTTAATCAGCAGCAATTTGGCACTACCATTGTATACAAAGAACTGTACAACTGTACAGCCATTGAATAGTAGTGACTGAACAGGCATAAAATAAACTTTGGTTAACAGTGAGCATCCATAATATTTCCTCACAATCATCCATGGAAATCACAAGTTCTAAATTTTCAGGAAAACATTGTCTTTCAACTTCTCCCTCATTTGTAATTGCATTTCACTATAAGAAATTGCCCTGGTTAGCATGTGACACCAACTTACGATTTAGTACTTTATACATTAACTAGGTTAAGTGAGCAGAAGTAAAAGCCATGAGTTGACACATCCTCTATCCCCTTCCCTGCTCTGCATGGCTGAGAAGAGGAATCCTGAGGAGTTTAATTCCATTTTATGTAAAATTTGACTTCTTAAACTGGTAAAATGCAACCAGGATCGCAGATTGGTTAGGTGGATATACTGTAATCAGAATCTGTAACAGCTGTTTAGGTTGTTTTTGAATTTTGTGTTAATTGTTTCCTCTCACTTTCCTTTAAAATCCTAAAATCCAACACATTGACTTCACCTGCTGCTTCCAAAAAGAGACCATTTAGCTCAGTGGCTAGGAATGTGGAGCCAGAGGTTGGGAATGCAAATCTTTACTGAGCCTCCTGGGAAAGAGCTGGCTTAGACCACTCAGAGCCCATGTGAGCTTAAGTTCCTGCCAGTATGGCCTTGGTGGTATATTGCGCAATCCAACACATAGACTGCCTGGGCCTAAATTCCCATGAATTAAACAGGTGTAATTTTACATTACACTAAGTCCAATAGGTTTTCTGCCAGTGTGTCTTCATATACTTCATAAAAAGCAGTAACAATGAGAGTTTGGCAGAACTCTGAAAGGAATACAGTATGTTATCTGATCTTCAACTTGAAAATGAATTGAACTAAGCCACGGCCCTTCACAGTAAAACATAAGTAAAAAGGCAGCAAAGAAGGCAAAGTTCAAAAGTTAAGTTTTAAACAACAGTCTACAAATTATTCTATTTAGTTTTCACAAAGGGGTGTTAAAATAGAATTAAAATAAATAGCAAAATAAGGAAGACAAGATTTGAAATTTAGGAGGGAAACCTGTGTATTACTCCTAAGCATTTGGTTCTCACAAAAGAACAATGCAGTCTCTTTCCTGTCATATGCTTTAAAATGGCTGATCATCACATAAAAGTTCTACTATTACATCTGGGATTGATGTATTTGTATACTGGGCATAATACAAGAAAGGAATGTTATCCTTGGTTCCTTATATAAGGGTCTCTTCAGAAGGTAGTATACAATATCCTCAACCTGGCTACAACCATAAACACTGATTCATGCTAATGGAGGAAGACCTGAGTTATCTACCTTCTAAAAAAGCAGGGGCATTCCCTGAAATCTTAGTTCAGTGAAAGCAAACTGGGAACAGTACAAGAGAAAGTCCTCACCTGCATGCCTGTCAAGCAGACCTTCACAGGTGGCACCAGTCTAAAAAAAGACTTCTCCTTAACATCTTCACATCTGGGCAGTTTCATATACAACAGGCAGTCCCTTAGATCAGTGGTCCCCAACCTTTGGCCTCCAGATTTTTTTTACTACAACTCCCAGAAGTCTTCACCACCACCTCTGCTGGCCCGGATTTCTGGGAGTTGAAGTCCAAGAACATCTGGTGTCTGGGCAGTTTCATACACAACAGGCAGTCCCTTAGATGGCCAGACCCTAAGGTATTTGAAATATAAAACAAAAAATCAGCACCTTAAACTGGGCCAGAAAATCGCTGGAAGCTAATTTTTTTAGTACCAGAGTAATACTTTAACCATATTTTGTTTAACTAGAAGATTTTGTGTGTTGTGTGCTGTTGAATCACTAGAATTATGTGACTGATTGGGTTTTCGAGGTATGTGAGAGATTTAAGGAGTGGATTTACCATTACCACCCCAAGTCAGTTTCCATAGCTGAGTGGAAATTTGAATCAGGTCTCCTGAGTCGTAGTCCAAAACTCTGTGCTTTATTTCATGCTGACTGTAGGTTCTAGATACAGTGGACCCTCGACTTACAGACGGCTCCACTTACAGACTTTTCAAGCTACAGATTCTCTGGCTGCAAAATTTAGGTTCGACTTGCAGCCGGAGAATTGACCTACAGACTGGGGGAAAAGCCAAAATGGAACAAAACCGGCCAGTTACGGATTAATGTGTTTTCAATGCATTGTAGGTCAATGGAGCCTTGACCTACAGACTTTTCAACCTGCAGCCACTGTTCGAATATGGATTAATTCCGTAAGTCAAGGGTCCACTGTACTCTTTAAGGGTAGCTCCATATAGAGGGCATTAAATATGTGATGCAATTAAAGCATGGGTGACTGTTGCCAAGTTGTTGTCTCCAAAAGATATTAGCTAATGCAATAAAGAGATTTATGGAAAAGCTCTCTTCACCACTGCTGCCAGCTGGCACTCCAAATACTGCAATTATGTCAAGTTATGCATGGGTATTACAAGATGACTTTCTGGCAGAATCCAACCAGAACCTCAGAATAGCTTGGTACTCAGATGACCAACAGGATCTCCATCTTATCAGGGTTTAATGTCAGCGTGGTCACTCTCATCCAGCCCATTATTTAACATAGGCACTATTGAGAGGCATCTGCTGCTTCCTTGGTATTAGATGACAAGGAAGAATAAAGCTATCAGCATCCCTTCAAAATGTCAAATGACCACCTCCAGGAACTTCATGTAGATATTGAATAACATGGGCACAAACCCAAACCCTGTACTTATCAACTTCTTTCTAATTAAGGGGCATTAATCACTTCCCTTTACCATAATATTATTCATCAGCCACAAGGGGAGGAGTCAAATAAACAGATGATAGTTCTCAATACATCAGACACTCTCTCCACATTCTTGGTATCTACAAGTTCAAAAGAATCTCATGAACTCCTCAAAGTTAATTCAGTATCAGATCATGGTGAATCTTAGCAGTTTTGTCTAAGCAAATTCTCCAGACAAAGCAATTATGTCCAAGCTTATTACTAACGGTGTGGGCCACCAACTGTAACCCAACTACAGATTAATCTCACATTCATCCAATGGCATTTTAGTCATCATCCCTCTTATTTCATAATCATCAGCTTCCCATTAAATCAAAGAGTTGAGCTGGCTCTATCAGAGGAGAAGATGCTAATGGGAAGCAGTATCGGCTACCAGCCATAGTCTACTGTACCATAAAAACCAAATAAACACACTTATTAAGTTATTTACTTTGGCATATT